CAGCAAGGTGAGCTGGGACTAAGCCTATTTTTGACCTTTTTGCATATTTTTGATTGCGGTTTTTTAAGCATGTGTTCCTTGGCCTACTTCAAGGTAACAAGTGAGTGGAAAAAGTTTCATATCTTTCATGCTTCTGAAATGAGTGTTTCTTTCTAAACTTATACAAACGCGTTAAAGAACATGGAAAAACGATAAATCACCAAAGTATTCGTTAACAAACTCAAATGTTTTAAATGTCATGTCGATGCGAAAATTCCTGTAAATTAGATAAAGTTTGTTAACTTTTCAAATCATCAATCAAAACTAAATCCATTATTTCTATCCGAAGATAAAAAAGATTTGCGTTTCAATATAATTACTAGAAGTTATCTTTTGACTAATCTCAGAGAACCAAATTGAGTTAGGTCGCAAGTAGTGAAGTGCCGCTAGCTAGCAAGAAAAATTCTGTGAAAAATTTCTTGCTAGCAATAGTTCAAACATTCAACTACATAGAGGTATAAACATTAGTGTTGAAAGACAAAGAAGTGCTAAAGTAGAACATTTGCGAAATCATCTTTCGTTGTTGTGTAGTACAAGGTCTCCTACGAGATAAGCATTTTGATTCACAGATTTCAGTGCAAGTCTAGCCAAAGTTTGCTTTTTGCAGGAAGCTCTACATACGAGTTCGGTTTAATGCAGATTCATAAAAGCCTTAAAAAGTGAAGGCCTGGATATCTCATAAATTTTAGTTTTGGAAGTAATTCAAATGCATAGTCATCGATAGTAAATGGAGGTGTAACGAAGTGGAAAAGAATATAATATCCACGTGACTAACATTGTAATGTTAGGTCAGCCTGATCAGATATCAACTACTTGGTGGAAACGGGTTTGCAAGAGTGAGTAAACAGGTTGAGGCAGGTGGAGAAAGATTTGCTGAAGAAGTTTTTTGTGAAATGAGTGGATTCGCGAGTGCAATATCTTATCGCACCGGATGGACGACTAAGTTCATTCTACTCACACGGAAAGTCCATTTCGCGGGACTTTCGTGAATATCAATCCTGATGTGTTTACTAAAAACAGAATGTCAATTTCATATGTCAAAACTCATTCATGAAACTGTTTACTAAAGATGGGGTAGTTATAGAATAAAAAACAGACAGGTTGAACTCACATTAATAACTGGACTAGATAAACTCTTGGTAAAACCTGTTGAACATGACGTGTCAATTTATTGAGACGTGGCAGGAAGTACAATACCACCCGTAATTTGTGAAAAAAATGGCGGCGGCACTTAACTCACGCGGCGCCGCCGCAGTTAGGTGACAAACGCCGCGTCGCGCGACAAAAGTCGGCGGAAAAGCGGAATTTGCCGCCTAACTTTGCCGCGCAACGCCTAACTTCTTTTATAAAAAAGACCTTATCTTGATCCAAAATTTATGAATTCTATATATAAGAGTACCATTCAACTCAGCTCGGCGAGGCGCATCTTCTAGATGTGCCTAGTTGTGGGACATAAGTTTTTTTTCTGGAATTTTAGTGTAAATGGATCAAACAGTGTGCTGATTCCAGAGGCTACATACACATTCTGTTGAGCACTGCAGAAATAGGGCAGGTATAGTTTAAGAGCTCATTCTGCATGATATGTGTGAAACTGGGCTTTTCTCGGCGAAGTATGACGGGTCCCAAAATGCAGGAAGACAAAGGGAAATGGTTGGGAATCGCATGAGAAGAACATATCGCGGAATGCCGCGCGTGCTGTGCAATGTACAATACCACTCACAGAAACGGAATTTCGCGAAATTCCATGAATTTCGCGATTCCGGATTATCGCAAATTATGCAGTGCCATAACTTCCTTCAGAATGAATATATTCTAAACCCGAAAGCAGCATTGTGTTCAGCTCGTCAAGGCGAATCTTTCGACATACGTCCTGTCATCTATATCTTGTTTCCGCTTTTCTCAAATTGTTCTGAGGAGGTCCCTTTGCAAGTATGTAATGCAGCGCCTATCCAGCATAAAAGCTTCAAGTAAGCACCATTCGATAGTGCTCTTCTTGTACATTATAGTGCGCTAGAAAGCTGCCGCAGACTTTTTTCAAAAGAGAAAAAAGCGTTGGTAAATTCTGAAAAAATCACTCGTTTCCAGATTCTATTCGCCGTAGCTTTCTTTGAAGTGGATATTTTCTGAATCCGAAAAATGCATTGTGCTCAGCTCATCAAGGCAAATCTTTCGGTGTGCAGAATGTCCTTGATATCTCGATTTCAGTATTCTCAAAACTTTCTGCGGGCGTCTCTTCGCAAAGGTGTGAAGCAGCGCATATTGCCCCCAGTAGATTCAGAAAGGAATTTTCGATAGTACTTCTTCTTTTGCAGATTATGGGGCGCTAGAAATTAGCTGCACACTTCTTTCCAAAGGAGTTGGAAGGACTGGTGAATTCTGGAAAATGTCGTTCTAAATTTTTCTCAACGTAACTCTAAAATATGAAGCTCTCTTGCTAAGCAGATGTGATTTTCGTAATCAGCAGGTCGGATAACCCTTATGAGCAAGTTTTCCAAGATGCGAGTAATTTCATTTTTTCTCGTTTTACGCTCTGAAGCTGGCCGATGGATTTTGGCCAAAATGTTCATGCTCTTAAATTGTGAGATAACTTCGCTTATAGAGGTTTTCGAACACGCTCTTCACGAAAATCGTGGTTTTTGAGGATTACAGGGTCTTTTTGGAGAGATACGGTGAGGTGACTGTAACTGCATCACGAAAGTGCGTAACTTTGCCCGTACTTCTCGCGTATCTGTCAGAAACCTTGCCTGCTTGCTTTTCTTAGTCAAAGTTACTGGGAACTGTGCTATCGAATGGTGCATGAGTCAGGCTCCAGTTTGCGAAATTCGCTGAGTTACGAGAATACGAAAACATGCTCTCATGAATTTTGCCCAAAATGTAAAGATCGCATATTTCGTCGAAATTCCACCGTGAGTGCTTGTACAACACGCTGATCAAAATCTTTTTACGTCCTTAATGGATCTTATTGTGTTAGATTTCGTAGTTTGAGTTCTAGCCACCGAAATAGCTTTGATATACAACTGAGCAGCTGAAGCATACGCAAGCACCACATTCAATACAGTGGGAGTCTTTGGGCGAAGCGAACACAATATCCGCAATGCGAATGTCATACAAGCAGCACTCACGGTGGAATTTCGACGAAATATGCGATCTTTACATTTTGGGCAAAATTCATGAGAACATGTTTTCGTATTCTCGTAACTCGGCGAATTTCGCAAACTGGAGCCTGATTCATGCACCATTCGATAGCACAGTTCCCAGTAACTTTGACTAAGAAAAGCAAGCAGGCAAGGTTTCTGACAGATACGCGAGAAGTACGGGCAAAGTTACGCACTTTCGTGATGCAGTTACAGTCACCTCACCGTATCTCTCCAAAAAGACCCTGTAATCCTCAAAAACCACGATTTTCGTAAAGAGCGTGTTCGAAAACCTCTATAAGGGAAGTTTCCTTACAATTCAAGAGCATCAACATTTTGACCAAAATCCATCGGCCAGCTTCAGAGCGTAAAACGAGAAAAAATGAAATTAATCGCATCTTGGAAAACTTGCTCATGAGGGTTAGCGAAATCCAACCATTTCCCTTTGTCTTCCTGCATTTTGGGACCCGTCATACTTCGCCGAGAAAAGCCTAGTTTCACACATATCATGCAGAATGAGCTCTTAAACTATACCTGCCCTATTTCTGCAGTGCTCAACAGAATGTGTGTGTAGCCTCTGGAATCAGCACACTGTTTGATCCATTTACACTAAAATTCCAGAAAAAAAATTTATATCCCACAACTAGGCACATCTGTATACTGGAAGATGCGCCTCGCCAAGCTGAGTTGAATGGTACTCTTATATATAGAATTCATAAATTTTGGATCAAGATAAGTTTTTTATAAAAGAAGTTAGGTGTTGCGCGGCAATGTTAGGCGGCAAATTCCGCTTTTTCCGCCGACTTTTGTCGCGCGACGCGGCGTTTGTCACCTAACTGCGGCGGCGCCGCGTGAGTTATGTGTCGCCGCCATTTTTTCCACAGATTACGGGTGGTATTGTAGATCTCCATTCTGTGAAGTTTTTACAAGTATAAGTACCGCAACTTCTGTTGCAAAGAGTTTGGTCAATCAGCTATCATTGATTTAGTGACGTTTTCTTCACCCGGCAGATACAGACACAGTATCTGCGGCACATATATTAACCTGACTTGTTTTATCTGCGGCGGTGCTGTTCAGATTACAAAACTACTTGAAGAGCTGGAAGTGAAATGCTTTAGTTCCAGGTCCTTATATAAATAACGCGATGCAACGGCCATGTGAACAGGTAGTTTATTCCTTATGATTATCTTCATAATTTTCATGGGAGTCGGAAGCAAGCTTATCGGGCGAAATTCGGATACTCTGTCTACGGTAGAGGATTTCGGGATGGGTGTAACCAATGCTTCCTTCCATAAACGTGGAACTTCGCCGAAGTACATGAAAAGGTTAAAAAGGCCACAAAGGCCCCGACGAAATCTCTGCATCAGAAGAATTTGATATGTACTGAAGTATGCCAAAACTTGGGTTTTGGCAAACTTAGTGCAAACTAAGTTCCACGCTTGAGAAAACTGCGATTATTCTCCAGATGCTCCATTACATTTGGACCACTCTATTAATTATGTGTAATTCAATGTCATTTCGAGCGTAAGAGCTCCATTATTTTTATGACAACATAACGTAAGCGAACATTCGAGGTAGGCTGTTTACCAGTAACCTAATCATACGTTTCATGTAAGCCAACAACTACATATCCTTGTTTTTATTTTTCGGAACAATGCCATCGTACATATAAGCACAACAACGTTGAAAAAAAAACACTGTGTCATCAACACAACATAGCTTTGTGTACCTTCTTCCGTATTTGTACAGCTTCTTTCGAAAACGTGGATAAAAGCTGTTGATTTCGAAGGGATGTACCGGGCTTTAATCTCCCCCCCCCCCTCCAAAATGTCTCCATTCTCAGCATATTTTACGCTAATCATGATTGCTTTCTATGGTGCTACGGTGAGTTTTGTCTCACAAATGTATAGTTCGATAAGTGTAAGTTTCCAATAGAGATTTTGAACTCGACCTCAACTAAACATTTTTTTGCAAAGTTTCATTGTACGATGACGAATGCTATTAAACTATGAACAAAACTTCAGAACTCACATTAAGTTCAACGAACTGTCTTTTTTGCAAAGATTTTCCATTATGGGATTGAGCCAAATTTTCTCACGTTATAATGCCCACTCTAATATTTCCATTTCAGAAAGCTCAGCTTGAACAACCTAATAAAGAAGCAGAGGTCGCCCCACAAACTCTTCCTGGTGTAAGCCTTCCTGTTGCGCCAGCACAGGTATGATAGGATCATTTTCTAAAATTCGTAACTAACACTGTTTTGCAGAAAATTGGAGCGTCCGACCAAAACGGAGCTGGTGGTTTCTTTACTCTGCAGAAACTGTTTGTGAGTTGGTTACAGTCAGCAAAATTATATTAGCAATATTATGATGGCTATCTTCAATCATAATTCTATTCGCTAAGATACAAAAGCTCTTGTTATCGTACCTCCCAAACAAATTATGAAAAATTTAGGTTGCAGTGCTGATTTTCTGCAAATTGATCACCACTTGGTGCAATCGCACACGTTCATAGATTTGTCCCAACTGCGATCAGGCAAAAGGCTGCCCCATCCCCTCTACTCGCTCCCCCCCCCCCCCAAAAGTGGGCTGCATAATTTTCAAAAAGAGGGGGGGGGGCATGAATTGAAAAATTTGCAAGTGACCTGTTTTTTGTGTTATAAATCAAGCTAGTCTTTTAGGACTTCTTGAGAGCTTGAAACTAGGTAAAAAAATTTTTTTTCGGTTGGCTTCAGCCTCTTTTCCAAGAAAATTCAGAGGTCGAACTACAGAATATTCTTGATAAGCATCCAAAAAACTTTTCGGAGGGTGTGACTGACGTCAGACTCCTTCATTCGGAAGAAATTACACTCTCCCTGCTCCCCCACACGAAGAAATTCTTGAACTGCCACTCCTGTCAAGAAGTGATTTTGTACCCTCGTTAAATGAAAATTTGCATAGTAAACAATAAAGGCGAAGTCGATCACACATGAAATGGACATCTTTTATCATGCGCAGATAAGCCTTATTTTAGGAAATGTTTACCAACTTCTCCCGTGGTCTTCTTGCCCCCTTTCAACGCTCTGTAAGTTGGCTTAATTGTTTTAATGCAACCCTGAGCAAATCACAATGTGTTCAGGGCGACGGATCCCCCCTCACACTGCCTGGGCTGCCAAACCTGCTTGACATATTCAAACTACCTGGAAGCTTCCTTGTGAGCTTTATCCTTAACTTTGCGAAGCATTCCTATTCAAAGCAACGATTTCAGGGATTCCGCGCTCAAGACACTCCACGAAGTCGAAGTGAAGTGGGAGGAGTAAGTTCAGTTCAAATTTTAGGCTAACGAGTCATATGATAGAGAGTGAGAAATTGATTGAGCCCGCTTATGCCAACCTTCGGATCGCATTAGGAGCGGTAAGGATGGACAAAATTTACGCATAGAAAAAGTGAGCTAATGTGTGTTGGTTGTCCACAAAAAGAGTTGAATACGCATTGCGCATGAATGACACGTTCGTACTTGTTTTTCCATGAAGTTTGATGCTGAAAAATAAAGGAAGTACGAGTTCAAGCTGGTTAAACAACCTGCGCTTGGCTTTTGCTCTCCTCTGCCTTAGCTACAATCCTACTATAATAACGCGCTAAGGCCGTCTGTTTTTTTTTGTGTGTGTGTGTGTGTCTGTGTGAAAATCTGTCTGTCACGAAATTCATAGAGGAAGCTGCAACTAAGATATCGGACTGCAATTTTGCATAACATACCGTGCCAGCGTGCAGGCCCACCATGCACAAGGACAAGCCGGTTCGCTAAGCGGGTCCCTCAAAATTTGCGCGTCAAACGGGTCCACGCGCCTTTTGGCACGCAAAGCTGGGTCGCTAATTCGACTTTTTGCAAAGTTGTGATTTGCCTGAGAAGTAACCCCGCGCGTCATGAATTACAGCCCAAAAAGTGCTCAAAAAGTTCGCTTTTTTGCGTAAACAGCGCCAAAAAGTGATGAACGCGTGGATAGTAGATTTGGCAAGGTTTTATCTGAAACTGAAAATGTTTTTGCAACTGAAATGTAGTCCAAGGTGACTATTATCTTGATAACGATTATCAAACTAAAATAAATTCAGTAATCCGTTCAAATTCGCATTTGTTTCCTTGCAACAAGGTTTTTTTTTCTCAAAATTACCGATCTTACATGGAGATACTTCATGAATGAACAGTTGTTTACGATTCATTTTTGATGCTCAGCATACATAGTGAGTTTCAAAGCCATTCTCATGCGAACATGAGAAATACGGACAGGGAGTCAGTGCGAACCTCTGCGAAGCGGAGGTGACGCACTGGTAAATAATAATTAGTTATGCTGCACGGACTGTATATTATTGCGGAGTATCTGCGCCTTTAACAGGCATCCTCATCACAGAGATCGGTCAGGTATAAGAGAAGCAGACAATCCGCAACCACGTACAATACGCGCGTCCCAAAATATAGATCTTAACTCTCCAAATGAACTTATTGCAACTGTGTGATAATGCTAAAAAACAATTTTAGTCAGTTTGTTCGCTTCGTCTTATTATCTGTATTATTTTTCTCAAATTCGGATATTTTCAAATTCTCTTCAGTGTTGTGATGCAATCGATATTATAATTTCCACTTGGCATTTGTATGCACTTACTTGCAGAAAAGCATTTTCGCAGAGCGGCTTTCTACGCCCAGGCCTTTTCATGGGGTAAGTATTCGTCTTCCAAGTGTCAGTCAAAACCCCAAATATGTATGAAGATATAATTTTTGCGCAGAAACTTGGTGGTATCCTTTGCTTTAAAAGATCGGCGGTTGGAAGGCGGGGCTACGTTGCCTAATTAAGGCTAGAATGATTAGGGCGCATGTTTGGGAGGGAGGCGCAGACTGCGTCGCGGACGCGAGCATTCGTCTCCTAAGTCATTAAGTCCCGCCTTCCAACAGCCACTGGTTGAAGCAAAGGTACATTGTTGAGAAAGCTGCTGAGCATTACTTGTTACCAACTCCATTGCTTTATAGATAGATCTACCCCCGCCAAGAGCGCACGTTGAAGCAAGCACTCTTCCAGATATCTCAACCGTGAGTATTATCCCGTGTAGCTAACCATCAGAACATTGATTTAGGCCCCTCAAGCACCCGATTATTGTATTTCCAAGCTCAAGAAACAGTTCAAAGACAATGATACATATTTCGAAGATGTCAAAAATCAAGTTCAAGAGAACAAAATCGCGGGTGCTTATGAAGTTGTTTATGCAAAGGTAAGTGATCGATATTTTGAAGAAAATTTCAGTTTATACCATTCAGGCGGCCGAGATCTGTACTGCTGAACAAGTGGAACGTCTGAAAGCATTGTTCAACGAGTATGACATCATACAGAAAGATATTGAGGATGTGAGTTCACAGAGTTTTCGTTGAGCTCTGTTTGGGCCAGATTAATTGTTCTTTCTCGAACAACTTTGATTACGTCACTCCTGATTTTCAGCTTGCGCCCCAGTACAGCAAAGAAACTAAAAATCAAATACTGCAATGGCTGAGAGAGGACAATTTCGCTAAACTTTCTCAATTTCTCGTAAAGGAAGTTATGGTAAGTCCATTGCACTTACTGAGAAAAGCGAAAAAGATATGGAGAGCTCTGTGGAGAACAAAGATAATGGGTCAAGAGGCAGTTTCGGAACACTTTTCATTTTTTTAGGATTATTTAAGAATCCACCAGGTTCTCGAATTTGAGCACACGACGTTAAGAGAAGGCTATTGGCCTCCGAAAAACAGTAACTCTGACATAGTTCCAAAACCCAAATTTTTGATGTTATTATTCTTTTCCTTGTTCTTTTCTTTGCATGTCTGGTCAAGCAACTACATACACTCAGTCATGGCAGTACATACTTGAGTTAATTTAGACTTTTAAAGTTGAATTGCAAAAATAATAGAAAAGTTGATAATGATGCAGTACACATTACACATTGTTGACAGTTCACAAAAATCTATGATGTCTAGAAATTATCACTGGGAATAATTAGGAAGGACAACATTATCTTATATTGCGTCTTGTGAAAGTTGAAGCGGAAAACGTCGAAATTTTCTATCAAAACAAAATGAGGAAGGATTATTTGCGGTGGCGCCTAGCATTCGCGAAATTGGCTGCAAGCTGGGCAATCACAATTACGTCCTCACATCCTGCTCAAAAGGACAAAACATTCAATCATTTCGTAATCTTACATCTGGTATTATTTTGGTATTCGTCACCTGACATATTTCAATGTAAAATTCCTCAAATTTTCAAAAATAAATATTGTCTTGCACACCCTCGAAAAGAGGAAATGACTCAATAGAACTTTTCCGCATTCTGCGGCATAACCTCAAGTAATTTTTGAAGTTTCTAGGATTTTTTTGATTGGCAGAAAGTGCTAGCAGACATCCACCACTTTGATATTTTGTTTTTTAGGCTAACAAACACAAAACAAGACACTCAAAGTTGATGGAGATCTCATCTCAACTGAACTCGATGCAATTTGATCAAATCGTGAATCCCATATGAATGACTATCAGAATATAACATACATATCTATTGTATTCGAGTGCTATAAAAATTTTACGCACAATAAATACTTTAAGTGTAGGTCTCGTTCTTACCAACAACGAAAGGAAAAATTACTGATAACCTATGATGTTGTATCAGGACTTCGCTCAGAGTCGCACGTGTGCCAGTCTGTGCCAGTGTCGTGTCAACGCCGTGCCAAAAGCGTGGTTCTGGTGTGGCGCTGGCATGGAGATGGAACAGTTCTGGATGCTGCCTGAGTAGAGTTTGTTTCATTACGTTATGAAAAAAGCCCACAAACTCACCACTACATTTTTTGAGCATTCTAACATGGCACGAAATTCCATGAAACATCTCTACACAGTCTCTCCGCGAAATGTCTTGAATCCTCTTTTCTTCCTCGGCTGCCGAAAACAAAAGAAAAGGACGCTTGATATCCTTTGGATAAAAATGATGGTAGCAGCTTCACTGAAGAGGCCTCACTCAAATGAGAAAGCTTTGTTTACCACCGCAGGCAGAGCTCTAGCACAAGCACAGATAAGCGTGTCTAATGTTCACAAAATTCAAATCATTTCGGGCTGAGAAAAAATCTCTCTGGACTTCATACTGCCCATCGACTGAAAGTGAATGCTAAGTAAAGAGTCCATCGGTAAAGCTGATGTGGCACAAAGAAATGTTGCCCCATAGTAAACTCGGTAAGTTCAGGTGATTTGAAACGACGGCCCGAACCGAGTTCGTGAGGTAAAATTACAATCGCGAACTACCCCATGCTATGAGGATGCAATGTGACCTGACAGTTGGCATCCGGTTGAAGGTAGTGTCCCAGCAGATCCGCGCCGTGGGATATAACTGTAGTCGGGTTCCTGGTCACCCCACTTACCTCCTAGCACGTTCCGGCTATCAGACAATCAAAGGCTCTCAGCCGGCAACCACAAAGCAACCGCCAAAATTCACCAAAAGTGCCGTGCCCTTATCGCCGCTACTTTCGCTTTCTGCTGAAAACCTTATAGCAGTCTGCCCGCTGCCAGCTTTAGCTTTAGCCCTCTCAGTCAAATTTGTAGGCCTCTCGCTTCTACGGTTCTCAGCGGGAAGCGAATTAGGCATAAGGGCACGGCGCTTTTGGTGGGATGGCGGTGGCTTTGTGGCTGCCGGCTAAAAACCTCCACTGTCTGTGTGGCTTCTTTTTATGCTTACACTACAACGTATAACTATCGATTTATTAGTTATAACGATGACAAATACTCAAAGTATTCTGGGGTTGTCCGTACGGCTTTCGAAGTTATGCTGATTAGCTTAGATCAAGCGAGTTTTACCAACTTTTGCAGTCTTAACTCATCTAAAATGTCATTATAAAGAGCATGACTTACTCTTCAATACAAAAATAAAAGCAGTCCAATCGGTTGGAAAAATCAGAAATTATGAATTTTTAAATTTGGTGCGAAAGAACTTTCGGGACAATCTAATATATTAGGTTGGTTCGAAAGTTCTGTCCCACCATTTTCAAAAAAACTTACAGGATGTTTTTGCATGAATAAAACCATGTTGAAAAGAACAATTCATGTACTTTCTAAAACTATGTTGGCTGCTATTTAGTAAGCTCTGAACGCAGAGGTAAAATTGGGAAAGTGCAATTACTTCAAATTCGGAATTTTTAGGCAAGTCCGTTAAAAAATCCAGAAGTATGCCGTAAAATGCAAAACAGGCAGTGTCCTAGGTTTTTTGATTTCCTCTTTCCAGCTGAGCAAAATTTGCGCTGATCGAGCCCTTTGAAAGAAATAATGATTTTCAAGAAAAAAATGCTAAAAAATCAATTTCTCAAAAAAATTAAAGAACAGCTCGATTAACGCGAACTTTGCTCAGCCAGAAAGAGGGGGTGAAATAGTCTAGGATGCTGGCTGCTTTGGATTTTCTGACGCAGTTTTGGAAATTTTAACGGGCTTGCCTAAAAATTCCGAAATTGAAGTGATTCCCTTTTCCCAATTTTATCTCTGCATTCAAAGCTTATTGAATAGCAACCAACATAGGTTTAGAAAGTACATGAAATGCTCTTTTCAAAATGGTTTTATAGGTTTCAAAAACACTGTTAGTAAGAATTACGATTTTTTGAAGACGGTGGGACAGAACTTTCGGACCAACTTAATATATTAGGTCGTCCCGAAAGTTCTTGCGCACCATTTTCAAAAATTCATAACTTCTGATTTTTCCAAGCGATTTGACTGCATTTATTTTTATATGAAAGAGTAAGTCATGCTCTTTATAATGACATCTTAGCTGCTTGCTAATGATCATCTATTGCATAAATAGGAGCGGTAGAAAAAATCAGTCAAAATTTGAATTTTCTGTGTAGGGTCATAAAAAATTGGAAACTTTCAACAAAATCGGATCAGTCACTATTATAGGTTTTTTCACCAGCTCTTTCTAACTGTGCAAAGTTTGCGCTGATTGAGCGTCTCTATGAAAAGTTATGATTTCCCCGAAAAATTCCAAAATAAATCAAATTCGCCCTTTTGTATTGCTTGCTCGAAAATCATAACTTTTCATAGAGACGCTCAGTCGGTGCAAACTTTGCACAGTTGGAAAGAGCTGCTGAAATAACCTACAATACCACTGCTCCGATTTTTGTTGCAAGTTTCTAATTTTTTATGACTCTACACAGAAAATTCGAATTTTGACTAATTTTCTTCTATTGCTCCTATCTATGCAATAAATGATCATTAGCAAGCATCTAATCGTAAGATGTCATTATAAAGGGCATGAGTTACTCTTTCATACAAAAATAAATGCGGTCAAATCGATTGGAAAAATCAGAAGTTATGAATTTTTGGAAATCGTGCGCAAGAACTTTCGGGACGACCTAATATTATTTTCATTGCACCTTAAACCTTGCGTAGTGTAAGCTAACAATAAGTTTTAGAGTCTATTAGCTGGCTTACCCGGCTCCGCCCGGCCCTGTTAAAACACTATATCAAAGTTCCATTCCCTTCCCTGTTCAATACCTTTCGCTGTGCCCACTTCTACATGCAAATCCCTATTCTCGCTGTGTTAGTAATCAGCATGCTCACTTACCCCCTGTCTCTCCCGATCCCGTAGCTTAAACTTTGCAAAAAACCAATAAAATCAATAGAAGTAATGCACGATTCTGAAAACTAATATTGTATTCGTATTCAGCATGCTCGACTACCCCCCCCCCCTGTGCCAACTCTCAGCCCCGTAGCTCAGAGTTTGGAAAAAAAATCGATAAAATCGATAAAAATAATGGATAGTTCTAAAAACTAATATTGTATTCGTAATCAGCATGCTCGATCACTCCCTGTGCCAACTCCCAGCCCCGCAGGTGAACTCAGCAAAAAAATCGATAAAAATAGATAAAATCGATTCAGATCGATAACAAAAGTAGCCTACGACACCCGCCGGGGCCCGAAGTGTATGTGTGCCAAGTGTGGTCCGGATCGGTTCAGAGGAATTTTGTATTCAGAACATACGTACAGACATACAGACAACCAGACATCCAGCTTTATATATAAGGCCTCAAGCGAACAATTCCAACTCGATAGAGCTCGAATGTTGGAAGGTTTATACGTCTAACTCACTCAACTCATAATATTTTTTTTGGTGGCCAATTTCTTGAAACTTGCATATCTACTTTCACCCATATCTTAAAACTTGAGTGATGACTCAGCTGAGCGCGAAACTTTACCACAATTGAGCACTGATGATGCGTCTTGTAATCGCATCAGCCCTAGGCAAATTCCAGCGTTCTAACTCAAAGTTTGCAGAAAAAAATTGAAACGAATGCGGTAAACATTTAACAAGTCGTCACACTCTTGTCAAGGACACTTATCCTGACATTCACTTATCTTAACAAGGACACTTATCCTGCTGGACAAAATCTGGTAGTAACTCAAACTTTGTAAAAAAAAGGGAAATGAAAAACATAATCGGAACATTGGTTTTTGGTAAGCAGATAATGTGGCATTTGTAAAGTTTTTCTCGCATTAATAATTGCTATTCTCATTAACGGATGTGTTAGAGTGTAATCCTGACGAATTAGCTGAACCGAGAGGAGCTCAGGTGTTATCATACTTTATCGCTCAGAGTACTTCTCCAACTATCTTGAAATGATAAAATTTGCTACACCGAAAGCTGACAACATATCACTATTTCAGTCCCTTCAGATACGACAAATGTCTGCAAAATGAGCGCACTCGCTTCTTGGAATTACAAACTGCACGATTTCAATTAGAGGGCTTGTACTATTAGATGCTATGTTCTCATTCACGGCGGTAACTGGAAGCGATTATAAATATTCTCAATAGGATACGGTAATGCTGATAAACTACTATCATTGTACTCCATGCGCAGCGTGACAGGAAATTAGACACAACAGCAGAGCACCCTATAGTGCATACAAAAGAGCGTCAGATAATAACGAGCTTCAGCTTTCAGGTAAAAATTATCGCATTCACTTTTTCAGAGCTTCAGCTGACTATTCGAAAGTACGAGCTGCTAGGTTAATCTATTTGGCAGGTAAGATCTATGCATAGCTGCCCGTCTATTGCTGTTTTGAGCTTTCTACAGCTTCCAATTAGCTTTATATGTAATCACGTCTACTCAGGAAGTTCAGCTTTATAATACCCCTAAACTCAGAATTTACAGCTTAACAAACCTAAAACTAGCGCGCTGACTTTTGGTTCGCAGAGAATGTACAAGTATATTTAAGCGAAGCCACATTTGACACTTTATTGTCCCTTAGCTTCCAATCTGAACCTGGTAACCTTGGGAGTTTTGCTTACTGAACGGATATTTTATTCACTGCCCTATTCGGTAATAAGATTCTAGGACATGATTAATCGCTATTTCAGCTTATTCAGCTTCTACAAATTTCTGACTAATGTTGTAAACTCAGTGGCAAAAATATGACCTCACAATGGAGTTATTGGGCACATATAAGTGGCTCTGCTCTCACGTTACCATTATATTCGATGATAATATTGGCCACA